TCGCCAGAGTTAAACAGTACCAATCAAAGCAAAGCAATGGGAATGATACTTGGTAAACATTATACAACATCAAATAGTAGCTTTTCGCTGTAAAATGGGTGTGAAGGTTTGCATCTTGTAGAACTGCGCTGTTTGTTCAAATGGGAAGCTAGGAGACTAATCCAAATGCTAAGTATAGGTACTCATCAAGTAGGAATATAGATTTTCATGCCACCTACTTGCAGTCATTTCATTTAACCCATGATGACCGCGCAATATTCACATATTTATCCGTTTCATATGGCATTTACCTACATATTCGTGTCTGGTGCTTGCCAGCGCAGTTTTTTGCCAATTTTTCATTGATTACTTCTTAATAATTTGTTTGAAGGGAATTTACCTACTTAGCTATCAAATGCATTGAAAATCTATAAAAGTACAGAACGGAGAACTGAATGACACATGCGATCAGAAAAGTACGACCCAGTCGTGGATCACACGGTCGTCAATGGATTAAGATCGGTCAGTCCACGTGATACGTGTCGCGCGTAGTTGCGAATGTGCACGCAGCGCAGCATTGCGGGGAAAATTTATCCAATTGCGCAATTCTGCATTGCGGTTACAGCTGCGACTAGAAACTCCTGACATGCTCAGCAGCAGCTCAAACTGCTTTGCGCCGTTCCATCTTGATGATCTCATATAAACGATAAACGAATGATCAACTCCTTAGCATCCTTGTAAGAGAAGACATAACGGAGATAATTATACGGAGATAATTATAACGTTATATGGGGAGAGTATGGTTCTGACGAAAAGCTCTAAAGGTTTGTACCTTGGTCTATTTGATCCTGTAATGAACGAAATCAGGCAATCTACAGAGGGTTTCGTGTAGTGGTTTTCATCATAGTGAAAACATAAATGAGTAGGAATAAACCGCAATGAAATTGTTTGACGAATGGATAATTGTCGAAACGCCATTTAAAGTGCATTCGAATTCAAATATCCGAGTGATAGGGACCCTGAATATTCGACTAATCGAGTCATCGAGTAAACGACCGAATATTCGAATTATGAAACTATGCAATTTCCAATTGTTCTCGTTTGATTATCCGAATAGTCATCATGTTCGATGTTTTCGCAGATATTCGAACGCCGAATAATATTCGAATCTCAGTTACAAGACTAT